GAACTCTTCGAGTTCTACTCTTGGAGGCCCGAATCTGTGTCTCGCCCGGATCGGAACCCGGAAAGCCTGCGTGGGCTAGGACAATATCTAGCCACCAATTATGAAACGAGATGTACGACTCCTAACCGGCTGGGAATCCAGCATTACTGCAGCCATAGAATAATGCTATGACGCTCGCAATTTGCAGGGAGGCACAACCTGAGAACGTATAAAAGGGAATCTGCCTATAATGAACAATCTTGATAGATCTGCTTCAACCAATAAGGCTTTGCTGCCGCCATAAATGCAGAATCACTAGAATCAAATTCACAGATGAGTGGATCTTGATTCGTTGCAGTGAAGTGGAGAACATTCAAACTCAAGTTTAGTCATGGCTGCACACAGCGGCTCTGCTTCTGGAGATGATGATCAATCATTTGACATTCTCTTTTGATTGGAGATTTCGTCCGAAATGGTATGCCTCGAGGCCTCTTTTGATAGATTCACCACAAGAAAATCGATGCACAGCTAACAGTAGCTATATATTATTATCCTCTATCTTGATTACATGCAGTGGTTTGAGCACATTGGTTTCTTTGATTTCTTTGGTCTCCGAATTGACCACTGAATGCCCAACAACAATTTTGAAAAGTGGTTTTGGAACTCTCGCCAAGTCCCCATGGCACTAGAAGTGGTAGCTGTGGCTGTAAGATATTCTTTTGGTGTGGGTGCAGACTTGGATCCGCGTGGATGGCGTCTTCTGCTGTCCCTTCACGACAATCAACGACATTCAATCAAACCTTGACATTGATTTGATTCCTTCATGGGAGCACTTTTGAGCGTTTCAGGTGGTAATCCTAATGCCAAACGAAATTTGATACCCACCGATATATGTACCGCGCTATCATCTGTATTTCATGTTTAAGTTTGGTCCCAATCATGCCCGAATGAACTTGTTCTAATGAATTTCTTCTGATGAGTCGCCCTGCCCTGTGAGGTCCGGGCGGAAAAAGCCCAACAAGCAAAAAATTTCAAGTCTCAAAACAAAATCGTAATTGAAAATATAGACACCTCTACTATAGATAAACATCACAAAATTGCTGGCTGAAGTAGCAGTATTTGTAATCACAACATGCTCTTTTCTACTGTGCTGCATGGTTTGGGTTCTTCCTCTGCTGGTAGTTGGATGGGTCAGTTACATATGACTCGATTGACCATCACGAATTTCCGGCTACAAAGATCGACTTTTCGTGTAGAAACAGTCCGTTCCGAAAACGGGTTGGAATACTCGCGTAGAATCGGCCTAAAAGATAGATTACTCAATCGCATGATGAGCAGACGATTTTTGTGACCATTAAAAACTGTATTTCCGGCGAAAGTTTTCTAACGGAAGAATGATGAGTAAAAGTTACTCAAATCTTAGGCCCCATATTCATATTGAGGCTGACGCCAGATACGGTATATAAACTGCTCCGCACCACAGCATGAAATAATAAAAATCCGCATCCATCTATAGGTCTATACCTGGTACAGGTATGTTATCAGAAAATGCATCATGGAGGAGCAATGACAGCTCCTGGATGTACAAGAAGACGACGTTTTACTTGGTGCTGGTTCATCGAGGTTATCTGGGAAGACATGACGATGAGCAGGTCAGGGCTCATGCATTCTTGTGTCTGGTTCAACACTGCAGATAGGTCTATTTATAGTACTACTGTACAAGGGTTGCCACTAGGTCTTTCACTGTTTGAAAGTTATATCTAGGCTTTCATGTGTCTCCAAGGGTGACACGAATACCATGCGTTGCGGACGGAGAACACAAACAGAAAGACTGGTTTTCACGAGAATATCATCATTTCGTTCTATTTTGAAAGCTAAATTTCTATTTCCCGGCCGTTCCAGGCTTGAACTCCATGATGTAGTAAGAGCTAGAATCTCCCGTCTTGCCGATCAATTTTCAGCTGTACATTGATACGCCATTTTTTCGATGTTAGGTCCAATTAGTTTCTCTTTTGTCTTATTCAACAACTAAACACCGTGTCTTAAGGACCTACCTTAGATCATGAGGAAGCGCTGCGTAGATCCTCTATGATCACTTCTAGCCGCCCTTAAGAATGGGGGCGGATGGTGGCGGGTTGGCAACTGAAATTCTTGACTGGTACTACATGAGGTAGTAGATACACCCAACGATAGAAACTGATTTTTCAATCTTGCAGATGGAGTACTACCATGTTTTATCGAGTATCGTTCAGTCTTCTCTCATGGCAGATTGAAATCATCTGCTCATACCGGCGGTGTACTAGGTAGTTGGTTGGTTGTTGTCACTTCACCTTTGGAATCAAGTCATTGCCTCAAATGGGTGCAAAAAGGTTGAGTGTATTGCCATCAGAGTAGAATATACAACACCTGAATCTGAAAGCATCATATATGACTATACTGTAACAACAGACTTTCCTATCGCGGCTTTGGCCAAAAATAGGAACCATGAAAGGTTTTTGTCTATGTTTTTCTCTTGTGAATCTTACCCAAAACCAACCTGCGTTGCCCCAAGCCTGCCCTATCCCAGGGATCATCTTCATCCGCGACATCACCACAGGCGATCCGCTTTCCTTGTGTTGTGCTCCAAAAATTTCCCCGTTCGCAGTGCGTGTCTGGTTCTATATCTATACCCTTTAACTCACATTCAGACGGTTCGTGGAAGGTGCCAAATCTTATGCACCTTAGCTTACCATCCGACGTGATGTACGACTGGCATTTCTTAGTACCGTGTTTACACCGATACTGCGTTTTGTTGACGCAGCGCGGCGTCATGCCGTAGTAAACTGAACCTGGCCCTACGCATGTTCCGTTGTACGCTGGCAGCTCGTATGAACTGAAAAAACTATTAAGGGTACCAGTCTTACTCAGTAGGATAGTTCTTCTAACGGCGAAAATCGAAACAATCACCGTAAACAGACATAAAGTCACACGCTTTAATTTGTTTACCATTGGTCTACTGCTCCTATCTGACACTGCACCATTTACTAGCCCGTCACCTTCTCCCGCACGCTCACGTTCTCTTAATGTGTGCATCATTTTCAGGTATTAAAACGAGTTGGTGTTATCTTCTGTCTACGATTACCTGCTGTGGTATAGGATTTGTCTTGTATTTTGAGTTTATGTTGTTTAATCTTTTCATCAAGACTCGACTAGGTATATAAGACTCGAATATAAGACTCGACTATATATACCGGGATCGTTTATAATCGAGTCGTTTATAGACGGGTCGACTATAACCAGATGAATCCAGCGAAGCCAACAACGCGTGTCTAGTACGTGTCGCAACAGGGTTGAGTTTTGATCTGTACGTAACGGAATTGGTCTGTACGCCAAATTTTTGCTCTGTACGCCAAATTTTTGCTCTGTACGCAACGGCTTTGATCTGTACGTCACGGCGCTTGGTCTGTACGCAACGGACAATTCTACCAATCAGCGTGCAGGAAAAGGGCACGGCTGACGGAATCAACGCCTCGCCTCTGTTTTCTCCCCAACGCCAACATTGGCGTTTAACTGCAGTACCGGCCGGTATCGTTATTGACTTCTCCGCAATCTCGATCGTACACGTATGATGGGCAGACGCATTTTGGGATGTTCATAAAAGAGTTCGATGATTGCTATTTTTAAAATTAAAAACTGTACGGGAAGCTGTCGCTAAGTAAAATAGCTTCCACACATGCTGACAGCTCATGGATATGTACAAGAAGATGACGTCTATGGGAGCTGGTTCATCGAGGTTATCTTGGAAGGCATGCATGACGATGAGGGCTCATGCATTCTTGTGTCTGGTTCAATAGATCAATCTCTTTATAGTACTACGGTACAAGGGTTGCCACGGGGTCTTTCACTGTTTGAAAATTATACCTAGGCTTTCATGCGTCTCCAAGTTGACAGGAAGGCCATGCGTTTCGGACGGAGAACACAAACAGAAAGACTGGTTTTCATGAGCATATATCATCATTTCGTTCTATTTTGAAGTGCATATGGAGGGAAGGAATAAGCATGTATCGCGGCTATTCGGATTTTACATCTGGAAACAGTATTAGCTCATCTATGATGGTCCAGCAACAAGATGTTTTTGGTAGACTCGGATTGCTCCGATCATCACTTGAGAAATCTCTTCTTTGAATGGATAGTCGGCTTCAGTGGTCGAAATAGCTTGACTCAATGGTGTGAGGCTGCCTCTTTCGATCAGATTCACGATCTGCTCTCGGCTACCACAGCCAAAGGCATTGCACAACACACGAATAGCTTCTTTGCGCACATTCCAATTGGGAGTAGAAGCAATGTCCAGAAGCAACTGAAAGCAACCATCGTTAGAGAGAAGCCATTCGATCTGGGCCATTGAACCCGCCACGAGATTGGCTGCGAGCCAACAGGCTTTCTTCCGCAATGTTTCGTTGCTGCTTTGAAGCCACTCCTGTACGTGCGGAAGTAGTCGCGCACGGATATCTTCTTGAGTTGGAGCATCCGATCCCGGAAGGAGGTTTCCAATACAATGGATAATCCCCTCCAACATGCGGCCTTGCTCGTCGAACTGGAATTGGACTTCTTTGAAAAATTCCATCATTCGGTCAATAATGGGCAACTTCGCTGCATCATATTCGGACGACACGATGCCATTATTGAGGTTGGACAAGGCATACGCGGAAAATATCTTCAATTTCATGCTATCGTTGCCGCTTTGGAAAAACAAGTGTTTGCTGAAACAATATAAGAATGGAACGGTATACATGAGAAAGGAGTGAAGGAAACAAGAATATAAGAATGCATCGGCTTTCAAGGACACATACAGTGTTTTGATGACTCCTAGGCTTGGTTGCAAGACTGAATCATGAATATCCCTATTGCCGTGAGAAGTCAGTTTCGCAATGCACCATATAGCACCCTCTTGCACGCATGCTTCCTTGTGGGAAAGCAAACTGGCAATTTTTTGCACTGCGAGGCCGTTTGGCATTTGAAAAATGGCTTTAGCACCTTTGGGAGTATCTGCTATGGTTCCCAGTAATGCTGTGCATTCGAAAATAAAGTGGGAGGCTCCAGGCTCTTTCTCATGGCCGAGGCCAGACAGGACAGCCCAGAGCAAACCTCTTTTCTTGATGGCATCGAGCGTGAATTTCCCTCTCTTCAAGAGTTGGTGATTGAAGTCACGAGTAGCAGCAGCATTTTCCTCCCATGATGAGGATCCCGAGTAGATATCTAATAGCAATTGAATAGTTACTGTCATAATTTGCGTTACGAAAAGGTTATTCGGCTTTGAAACTCAAACGATATTTGCAATAGCCGTTTTTGTTGTCGTTATTTTCAATTTGATGTGTTTCGGGTTGGTAATTCTTTTAGTCGCAGTAGTCAATTCATTTTCAAAATATGAAGCGAAGCATGTAATATAAATAAATATCTGTAATCGCTTGTGGGATGCTATACCTTGCGTTACAATAGCTGCAATGATATGATAGACAGAATGAGCTAGAATTATAAAACATAATGATTTCAAAATAGTACAGTAAGTCCTGGATATCACAGCTAGTCGTCTTCCTCCAGATCCCTCGTGACAGGCAGCTTCAAGCCCTCCTCCAGAGATTCTTCTTGATCGCCTCTTGCGGTTCCACTTGTCGACGAGCTTTCTACCTTGTCGTCATTTTGTGTGTTCTTTTTCTGGCTCTCTTCTCGCTCATTCCGCATAGCAGTGTGCGCTTGTAGACGACGGACCTCAGACTTCAAGTGTTCCATGTCATCATGAAGCTCGTTCAATGCCACGTTTCGTTTTTCGCGTTTCACTATGAAATCGATGAATTTGTCGCTTCCACCACGGAACTTGCAGAAAAAGATCAGCGATCCCAACGCAGTGAGCAAAATGACAACAATAAGACTTCCCAATACTGTTATTCCACTATTTCCGGTTGTGAATAGATAGGAAATACCCAAGATGGTAATGGGGAGGACAAGGAAGGTAACAAGCAGATAAAGAATGGGCATCCCACGCCACATGCGCGTGGCTTTACCCAATCGCCTGGCTGCACCAAGAGGAACGCTTCTCATAGCAGGAAGTGGGTACCAAATCAGAATGCCAACCATGTTAAAGATCAAGTGAGCCAGTGCGACTTGCATGGCAGTAGGCTTTGAGAGCAAAGCAGCCAGAATGGCAGTCATGGTGGTTCCTAGGTTGGCACCCAAGGTAAGCGGCAGCATTTGTTCCAGTCGAAGAACTCCCACTCCAACAAGTGGCGTAAGTACGGATGTTGTGATAGAGGATGATTGAACCAACATCGTAATTCCAGTTCCAATCAGAATCGAAACATATCCATTGATACTGGTGGCCTTGTAAAGCAGTCTTGTCGAGGCACCTATGAGCATGGCTTGAAGAATCTTGATCAGGGCAAATAAGCAAATGAATAGAACGATAAGGCCAATGATAAAGGCGCAAACTCCGGCTGTCTTGTCCGCAGCTTCCGTGGCCTCCGCATCAAAAAAAGAAGGACAGTAAGGCACATCACCCTTCGTATCACACTTGATCAGTCCTGGTTTGCATGAAAGTGGATCGTTGTAGTCTTCGCACGCCAGTGTACCATTGCTGGGGTAAAAAGTGCCGCACGTAGCTCTTCGTTTGGCAATGTTGGCAGTGACATCGCTGTTGGCAATAATAACTCGTTTGGCAAGTGGCGACACCAATCGCTTGACAGGACCCTCCCACTTTTCTCCGTCTTGTGACCTGAAGTCTCTTATGATTCTCTCGGTAAAATGGAAAAGAAAGCCACTGATGACTTCAATGGGCATCAGAACAGCGACTGACAAAAAGTTGAACATGTCATGAACCGTGGCTCCAGCAAACGCAAGCTCGAGTTGATCTCCATCGCCCATGTGTCCAACGGCCACGATAGTGTTGGTGACAGAAGTACCAATATTGGCACCCATGATCATATAGATTCCTTGCCTCACGGATACAGTATCAGCACCAACCAGAGAAACCACAATAGAAGTGGTAGTGGAAGAGGATTGCAACAAGACAGTGGCTACAATGCCCACCATTAGTCCTGCCACAGGATTCATGTCGTCCCCAAACAGAGCACCAGCCGTACACCCACCCATAACCTTGGCCCCAGTTCCCAAGAGGTCGAGTCCGAACAGGAAGAAATAAAGAAAGAAGGTTGCTACAACGCAACCCATCAGAACAGATGCCCATTCACTCGGTGATCTCACGCAACAAGCGTGGCAAACTTCACCCCAAGTGGGTTCCATTCCACCTCCATTCGATTCACCACTAGAAAAATCATAGTTTGATTCCAATTCCAAATCTGGATTAAGATCGAACTCGTTGTTTTGGATGGACTGTTCCATTTGAATCTAACATGATATTTTATGAATTTTCATCCCATTTCTTGTTAGAAAAACAATGATGAAACAAAATCGGCAGTCAGTCATCGCAGCCAAGACTTACGCTTCGTTCAAGGTGTTCCTCAGAAAAGGTGTTCGAACTCATCTTCGATCTAGCTTCAGCCAGTGAGTGGGTTGATGGGTAGTTGATGGCGATAAGTTTTGCGAGAAGCCAACAATTGTGAAATAGCTGACAGCCAACAATATTCTGCGGTTCCCTACTGTTGTCGAGAGTATATTCTTGAATGATTTGATCGCGATCAGCAATTGATTCTTCCACGATCAGTCGATTTGTTGGTGGGAATGTTCGATTCCCTTCAGAATCTCAAGATTCGACAGGATGATTCGGGGATTCGCCTAGATTTCCAATAAATACAATGAACAAAAATCCACGACTCGGACGATGTGTTAATTACTGAATTTGTATTTACACACGCTTTTGTGCCCCAACAGAAACTGCGCGAAAGTTCAAAGTATGGCCGTGCCGTAATATGGTGGCAACAGAAGGCATCATGAAAAAACGAAGCTTAGTGCATACCGGTGCATGTCTGAGCTCAATGGAAATGGCCCTTTCTATTGATAAAACAAGTTGCATCTAACTATATCACTATTCTACAGTATCATGATTCTAAAATCTATTTGCCGCGGTATCAGTATGCGCCTACCATCTCCAAGTTTTGAGTGGCAAGGATATCGTATACGCAGCCTTTGCGGCTGAATTCGTCGTCGAGTCCAGAACAAGCTTCTTCTGCTGCTTCCTCCGTGATGGAGCTCTCATCCAAACGACGTCTGCGATTGCCTCGAGGGTCTTCCGGAAGCCAACACTTTTCCGGGAACTGTGGTCGAGATGTCTCATGGAATAATCTACCATCCGATGGCAAAACTTGCCATTCGTTGCCGAGCTCTGTAAAATCATTCAAAACTGTGCTACCGTCACGAGCATAGGTGTTTCCCGTTCGAAAGTCTCCAGTTATACCCACCGATTTGCCAAAGGAAGATTCGGATGCTCCCAAAATCTTGACTCCGACAAACTCCTTAAAGGTCTTGATTTCAATCTTTTCTCCAGAATATTTGCTGTCAAGATCAATGGTGTATCGACTTTTGCTGGGGTTGATCGATACTGGAAAGCCACCAATATCTTCCAGTTCTCCCATGTATTCATAGTTGATCCAATAGTTGGCTTTGTCGTTCTCCGCAGATCCTGTTACCTCAAGAATATCGTTTCCGATTCGAATGACAGCCCTCTCGATGTAACTCCAAAACCGAACAATCTTGGTACGAATGTGAATATCAATACCGAGACCGTTGGCAAAGTCCTTGTCGGAAACCATGACAATGTCACACTGGCCGTGAAATTCAAAGTGTTCGTTCTTCCATGTCTTGACTGTATCATATAATCATAAAAGGGAGTGGTGAGGAAAGCGAATATGAGATTGTGAGTTGATTCTGTCCCTGGAAAAATGACTCACAATGGGGATCGCCATTTCCTTCCGTTTGCTTTGTAGACTCGCTAGTAGGTCCTGTTGTTGGCTGTACTGTTGGGCCTGCAGTAGGCCCGGAAGTCGGCCCTTTAGTTGGTCCTGAGGTTGGCCCAGAAGTAGGCTCTGAGGTCGGTCCGACAGTCGGTCCAGCAGTTGGCCCCGATGTTGGGCCATCGGTCGGCACAGATGTAGGCCCACTGGTGGGAGCAGACGTAGGGGTACTAGTAGGAAATGATGTAGGACCAGGAGTAGGTCCACTAGTAGGACCAGACGTAGGACCCGCAGTCGGACCAGGAGTAGGTCCACTAGTCGGACCAAGAGTAGGATTGGAAGTTGGCCCCAAAGTTGGACCAGAACTAGGGGTACTAGTAGGAACTGATGTAGGACCACTGGTTGGGCCCGCAGTCGGATTGGAAGTTGGGCTAGGACTGGGCACAGAAGTGGGCCCTGAAGTTGGTCCACTTGTCGGCCCTGCAGTCGGTAGCGAGGTAGGACCACCAGTAGGTGCCACGGTTGGTGCAGACGTCGGGCTACTCGTTGGATTTGAAGTAAGACTGTTTGTTGGACCTGAACTTGACTCCAATGTTGGTGAACTTGTAGGACCAGAAGTTGGTGCAAGAGTTGGTCCAGCCGTAGGTCCAGAGGTAGGTATGCTGGTAGGACCTGCAGTCGGTGCAATGGTAGGTCCACTTGTTGGTTCTGAGGTAGGCTCACTCGAAGGGTCGCTGGTGGGACCCGACGTAGGACCCAATGTCGGTCCGGATGTTGGCCCATTCGTAGGCTTAGATGTTGGGGCATCAGTGGGTTCTAATGTCGGATTACCGGTAGGTCCAGACGTGGGTTTCGATGTTGGTCCACTCGTTGGTCCAGATGTCGGTCCGGATGTTGGCCCACTCGTAGGTCCAGAAGTGGGAGCACTTGTTGGTCCAGACGTTGGTCCTGATGTCGGACCACTGGTAGGTCCAGATGTCGGCCCGGATGTTGGATCGCTCGTTGGTCCGCTTGTGGGTAAAGATGTTGGTCCACCAGTAGGACCTGTCGTAGGACCAATGGTAGGGCCAGAAGTTGGGCCGGAGGTTGGGCCCAAAGTCGGACCGGAAGTAGGAATCGAAGTAGGTCCATTTGTCGGTCCAGAAGTTGGACCAGAAGTGGGGTTTGAAGTTGGCCCACTAGTAGGACCTGATGTAGGTTCGCTAGTAGGACCTGAAGTAGGGTTTGAAGTTGGACCACTAGTGGGATCAGATGTAGGTCCACTAGTCGGACCACTCGTTGGACCAGAAGTCGGTCCAGATGTAGGACCACTCGTTGGACCAGAAGTCGGTCCAGAAGTAGGACCACTTGTTGGACCGGAAGTTGGACCTGAAGTCGGTACAGACGTTGGACCGGAAGTTGGACCTGAAGTCGGCACAGACGTAGGCCCGGAAGTTGGACCAGAAGTCGGCACAGACGTAGGTCCGGAAGTTGGACCAGAAGTAGGATCAAAAGTTGGACCAGATGTTGGATTCGGAGTGTCTGCAACTTCGTTGTCAGTTGCCACTCGCAAAATCTCCAAGTATCGGTTTCCGTATCCCTCGTAGGTAAATCCAAAGGTCAACTCGAGTGGATCAGATGTCAGGGTCCCCACCACAGGTTCAATCTGTGTATCTTCATGCCATTCGTTCCATGAGTTAACGACCAAAAGTCGGTCTGACCCATCCACAGTATTTTCTTCGGCCAAGGGAATGGCATATTGCAAGGCCTTTTCGAACAAGGAACCAAAGCCTTGCCCTTGCAACGACCGAGACAAGGCCGGATTGCCGTCTCTGACGCCAACGTCGTTGTAGCCAGGAGACACGGATGGAATAAAGTGACAACCATAAGTATTCGCGGCATCTTTCCATGCCACCTTTTCCACTTCGTAAAAGGTCTGAACGTCGGCTTCGGTCAATGTCCCACCCTTTCCACCTAAAATCGAAGCAATGCTTCCATAGACATCGTAATTCGTAACGGCATCCAGCAAGAGAAAGGGTCCATGCTTTTCCGGATCATCATAATTACTGGAAGCACGGCCAAAGATTTGATCGCCCACGATATAAATTTCCTTTCCACAGGCACTTCGGACATTGTCTCGCATCACTTGGACGGTTTCGTTCAAATAGCCTCGCCTTGCGAGGGACCGAGACAAGTACATAAACAACACAGGGCGAGAACCGTGGACTGGATCCTCCATTTGGTAGTAATTTGGATGATCAAAGTAGTTTTCACAAAGATATTGCATATCGCCTGGAACTCGCGTCGTGGTATAGTTCTCGCTAGCTTTGATGCGACTGGTAGTTTCGTAAAAGAGTGCAATCTTGTGACTCTTGAGATCGGGATGGGTCAGAATGTTGTTCTTGGTGGTCATATCCGTCTGCCGACCAGGGCCCCACTATATATAGTACAATGGTAGAAATGAAACAAAAGAAACGATAAGGATGAATGCATGAGGTTGGAGGTTCATAGAGGAGCAGTAACAAGCCGGAATATGAAAGTGGACGACTTACCCAGCTGGTGATCCACAATTTCACATTCGCTTGTCTACTCCAGTCCAAATGCTGTTGAATAGTGGCAACGTCCCGATCATCATATTCTCCCAATACGGGGCTGTGTGGTGGAATCAAATCCTGTCGAACGTAGCCTTCATCGTTGTGAAAGTCGTCAGCATGCCAAGGATAATAGAACACACCCACCACAAGATCTCCCTTTGGATTTTGATTCAGATTTCTCGTCGCTCTTGTTGTTGGCTTCGAATGATTGGAAGACAGAAGTTCTGCCGTGATTGATCGATCAGCCCGTGTTGCATTGAAGAAGCCTCCTTCCTTCATGTACATTTGACGAAGGAATTGTTGATCCGCAAGCTTGTCGGCAAACAAGTCGTCTCGTGCATCGACAGTCGCGGCAATAATCCATGTGATGGTGCATGCATGTACTGCAATCATGATCCAAGCTCTATTCATCATCATCGTTATCATCATCATTAGGACGACTATGTGATATCAGATGGATTATGATTGAAAGGAGGAGTTGCTTCGTTTTCTATATTTGTACTGGTATGCAACCAGGAAGCATCGATTGGGTAATGCAACAAAGATCGATATGAATAATGTAAATGTAGTATCCTACCGTGTCGTGTTTTTTTTTTGTCGTCGTTCAAAAATCGTTGACGGACTGAAATCTCCTATAACTTCAAACCGGTGTATATGCTTGAAAACTGTTCAATCACGAATCGGAGTCTCCTCACTTAGTGATGACACGTGTGGGTTAGACCTCCTGCAACGTGTGCATCGTATCATACTTAGAGCTTTTTTTCAGTTGGCCAAAATTCTTCCTTCGCCCACTATTTTAGAATTTAAGAGCGTATGGCGAGAGAAAGGGATGAATCATGCATACTCACCGGTACTTGTATTCAGCTTTTTGCTTGTACTACTGTATACAATATTTCCTGTGGATGATGATATAGATGCTAGATGCGGTACCGGTAGGTAGGTAAGTATGCTATATAATGCATGCCACTATTAGTACAATTACACAAAAAGCTAAAACATGATAGGACTGGCTGCTAATAGTCCTAGTCTCTCCACCAAACATTTCATTTCACTTCATGTCATTCATATATTCGTTCAATCTTCCCCAGTCGTTGCCTTGCTCAGCGCAGAAATCCATTTATGGTAGTCGTCCTCATTCGATGCCGCTGCCGATATGTTATGGGCACGAGGATCGTTTGGATCCGTCTGAATCACAAAGGACAATGGATGATTGGGGTTAAAGTCGACCTTGGAAATACCAAATTGAATATCGTACGACTTTTCACCGATATCCAATTGATAGTGATCCCCACAAAGAAAGAGTCTCGAGTGTTTGGGTTTCCATTTTCGTCCTACCACACCTTTGTTCTTTATCAGTAAGGTACCAGTCATTGCAAATGCCATGAGTGGAGGTATATCAGCCGAGGCAGCCACGGACGATTCGGCCATGGCTGCTTCCTCCTTCAGGGACATGAGTTCGTTCATGAGCAGGGTGCTGTAGAGACCACCACCTGATTCGCCGCCACTAGCAGTAGTACTGCGCCGTTCGGCAACATTCAATTGATTGGCCACTTCGAAATCGGCTTCTTTTAGGTCGTTTGACAATCGACTTCGGTGTTCCTTCTCAACGTCATGATCTTCGTTGATGCAACCTACCGCTACATACAAGGACTTGAGCTGCTGCTCCATGTCCTTTATTCGATCGTCGCAACTGTTTTCCGTTCGAATAATCTTCTTTTCCAGTGCCAAGACTTGGTCAAAGTGACGTTCCTTTATTTGCTTCATTTCCTTTTGTCGAATCTTTTCATTGTTCAGGACCAACTGTCGTTCGTGTTCGAGCGACTTTTCCCGTTCGGCTTCCAAGGCGATTCTTGCTTCCTCCAGGGCGTCGTCTTTGGCCGCCACCAATCCCAACAATTCTTCGTATTCTTGCGACATGGCATTTGCCCCCGCATCCAAGGCCTGGACACTTTTTCGATGGGCCATGGACAGTTCCTCAATACGCTGGTCTTTTTCTTCCAGCATGGATTTCAGTCGATGAATGTCCATTTGCTGTTGTTGCACTTGGAATCGCAAGGCATCCATTTCTTCACTGTCATTATTATTTTTTCCATCCTCTTCTTCTTCTTCTTCTTCGGAACGGTTATTCCTTCGAGGCGGTCCCTTTTGCATCAGTTGGGAAGCTTCCAATTCGGCCTCCAAAAAGGCAATTCGATGCTGCATTTCTCCATAGGCTTCGTCCGCACAAGCTTGTTCCAGTGCCTTGCGAAGGTCCGCGACATTGACGCCCTGCAGTTCGGCCAACAATCGCAACTGTCGCTCCAACCGATTAATTTCCACACCTTGGGCTTCAATCTTGGCCTGAGAAATTTGCAACTGTTTGGAGATTTCAAAGAGGCCAATCGAACTATTGCGAAACTCGTTGGCACGTTTTTGACTTGGAGACGTAATTTCAAAAGGTATCGTCGTTGGCCTTTGTTTCTGAGTTGGCGTCTCATTTTGATCATCGTATTGCTGCATTTGCTGCTCTGATAATTTCTTGAGTCGTTCTTCTTCTCTCATTTGAATCAATTTCTCTTTTTCGGACAACAGCATCTGGTGCAACCGATGTCGTTCGCTCAGCAATCTGTTTTCCGCATTCTCCAATTCATCAATCCTCCCTTCCAACACGGACAAGTCCAGCCGCGTTTCCTCGTTGGGATCCAAATCAAAGCTGGTTCGAATCGCATCAATCTCGTTGTCCATCTGTTGGAAGCGTTCTTCGTAATCCCCAAACTGTCTCCTCACGGATGGCGTGACTGATTGAAATGTTAGAACGGATGGTTCCACAGAGGGTGTGACAGAAGCACTATCTGGGTGGTTCATCATCATTATTGCAAATAAGATAGGTAGTGATGACCGATGACCGATGACCGATGATCGATGATCGATGATGATCGATGAAAGGATGACACCACGCAATATTATAAAGACAATATAATGTAAGGGATGCTGTTTTAAAAATTTCAGCGTCACAAATAAATATATTAGATTTTCGGCGAATGACCCGCGCCGCGCCTCTCATCATCATCATCCATCACGCCACCGCGTTCTTCATGAATCAGGTACAACAATAGTCTCACTTAGTTGACATGGCAAAAACAGGATGTATATATGGGTATACATAGGCTCCAGATGATAAGTATCAGGTACGAACATAGATCATTCCGGTATAGATGCATGCTGATGTATGTAGCGTAAAGTGTCTATTTTATTTTAATATTCTAATGAATTTCTAAATCAATTCTTCCTTGCGGGTGGGCTCCTCATTCGGCGTTGTGGAACCTGCATAGGCCTGTCAGTACGTAGTGTACCACTCGAGGAGGAGGAGGAGAATTCAGCACCTCCTCGACTGTTGATGGGGGTTTGGTTACCATTAGTATTCATCATGTCATCGTCTGGTGATTTTGGATGAGACATAGAGTGCACTGATACTGTCTCCTCATCGGTAGAGGAATAATCAAGGGAGCTCTCCAATCTTGCCGGCATGGAAAGCGCTACTTCCTGCTTCTTCTTTCGTGACGAATCATCGTAATCATCACCATTATTGTCAGATGCTAGCTGGATCGAGTCAGAACTCCAGCGTCGATCGAGGGTACGAGGATCAATCATTGTGCCCTCGACCAAATCATCTCCTCCAAGCAATACTGGCGGCATTGCTGCTTCTTCAAAGGCAGCTTCTTCGTGTTCGCTAATGATGTCAAGTGCGGAGGAGGTACGCAGCAGTAGTGAAGATCGCTTGCGGTGGGATACCAATGGGGCATTGCGGCTTGTGGCGGCTTTCCAGCGCGCATCCTCCATTTCTTGCATGACATGATCAATAATAAGTCGCCTTGGCTGGCCGTCAAGTCCGATACCATGTCTCGTGGAAGGCGAGCGGCAGATGGTGCAAAAAGAACTTGGTCAGCAGCAGTCACAGCAGCAGTCACAGCAGCAGTCACAGCAGCAGAAGCAGCAGCTTTGGCTGACAACTGGTCTGTTGTCCCCAAGGGCACATCCTTGCCATTGGGTGCCTTGGCGACGGCAGTTTGCTGCCGTTGTTGCCGAATCGTTGGTTGGACTTCCTCTCCAAAGATGGAGCGTCGGACTGCCCATAGTCGGCTTTCTCCTTTGTGGAGGTGCCGATACTTGAGGTACTTGGGGCGAACAAAGACCACCATGTTGAAGAATCCCTGAAGTGGTGAGAAAACTGCCTGTAGGACAAAGATTGGGTACATGCGGACCAATATGGCCAATTCGTCTTGAACTGTGTCGCCTTGATCTTCCAAGAGTCCAACAACACCAGTCCAGACGTTGCATATGACAAAACTGACCACGAACAAAATGGCCTGCGAACCGACGAGTCGTATCCGTCTTGCTTGATCCTTGTTATTGATGAGTCCATCACTAGCAGAACGCAAGCTTCCAGTCAACATATCGTTGCTTGTTACCCCATCTTCTTTCCAATCAACTTCCTTGGTAGATGTACAGACATATTTGGATTCGGATATAGTGCTCCTGGAAGAGTCGTCGCTATCATCAGCGAGCATATTCTCGCAGATACGGGTGCTGCTATGAGTACTCTTAGACAAAGAGTTTGGTGTGAAACGCCTTTGCTTTCGAGCATGCAGTAAAATTATGGTGTTGCGTTGACCATCAGGCTGATGCAGACAAGGATGAGGGGAATGGCGTAGGAAGAAACCCAGCTAATGACGCGGGCAGTACAAAGGAAATCTGTTTCGCAGTCCTCCGTGGCCACCACCCAACAACCAATCCCATTTGTCACTTCCCCATAGCCGTCTAGGATCTGTAACGCAATACCAAAGACCAGGGGATACCCAATGGATACAATATGCATCCAAGGCTCGATCTTTCTTGCGATGCAGTGATTGCCAACTCCGCATCGTGCCGTTAGCAGAAAGTAAAACCCAAGCATTCCTTGATACATCATAGTAGCCTGAGAGATTTGGTTGACAAAACCCACAGCGTTGCATGTCGTTTTGTTGCCAACACTCAGCATCCGAATACTGGTGCCTTGTGGACGTAGAAAAGCAGCGACACTCCAGTTCAAACGTTGTGCTATATCGTAGACGCTCATGGCAAAGAGCAGTCTCAAATAGGTAGTCAATTTGCGATGTTGTTTGGCATTGAAGATCATGTAAATGATCACAGAACTCCCAAACACGCTCAGAATGGCACTCGGAATTCACTGTGGACGAAAGTTACAGGGGAGCGGGAGTTTTTATGGGATTATTTACCTGACCCCGTAACTGCACAAATTGGAACATCGTACCTGTCCACGTCACGGAGCTAGGATATTTACCAGGTTTAATGGTTTTTTACGGGAAATAGCAGTAAAAACAGGGATTTTTCCCGGAATTAAGGAATCTTCCTTGTAAAAATTCCTAAAACCCCGTAACGACAAGTATCCCTGGACTCCCGTAAAAACCCATGTATCCTCTAAATCAATATTCAAATCATAATGATGAGAGCCAGCATGTGCAAATGACTGTAATACCTCATTTTTAAAAACGAAGTTTACTTGCACCGCAATATACCATTCTTGCTTTTGGGGTGTAGCGCAATATACAAAGGGGATCGATAAATCAATACAAAGAAATAATATAGGATATCTATAGTCTGCTCTCTCATTATAATAGGCTCTTGCGGCATTTGGAGATGAATATGCGGTAAGAGACGGCTTTTGCTCAATTGCATATCTGTTCTGCGCAGATTTCAGTTTTCGCCTTCTGATGAAGCATACCCAAAACATCTTTGAAACCCTCAATGTGATACCACGCCGCAAATGTCAAGGTAAACACACACCACTACGTATCTCTTCTCTTCTTGATCCATCACCGCACTCCCTGGCGGAAACTTTTGAATGTTTCCAATATTCGTCTGCCTTGGCTGCAATATATTATTGGCCATTTTGCCATTTACATTCACTATGTTCCCAGAATTCAACAATGATGTTAGAAAAATATGAATAATGGTCTCGCACCATAAGACAAAGTTCGTTCTTACCCACTATATACATCTCGAACTACATGGCTTGCCTTTATTGGAGTCGGTCTGAGATCATTCCGCAATTTTTAGTTTCTTGCAATTTTGCACTGATCGTCATATAAAACACATCATCTAGGTACGCACCATATCCATTGAGCACGGACGAGTCCACAATATCATCAAGCTCTGTCCTCGCTTTTCGATATCGTCTCTTATTTTGTTGTTGTCTTCAAGCGAATGGCCTCTTCCAACTGTTGGATTTTTGCTCGTAGTCAAGAATTTTGAACTGTACCT